GACCAGAGGACAAAAAGTAAGATCTTTGTCCCCATGTGCAGTTGCAAACCGTAGTCTGGATTTTTTATGGCGGTTTTGGAGCAGTGTCTTCTTCCTTGCTGATTGGCCTTTCAGGTTATGTCGATATAGGACTCGTTTTACTGTGGATATAGATAATTTTGTACCTGTTTCCTCCAGCATCCAGGTTCTTTGCTGTTGTTCTGGGATTGATTTGCCCTTGTCGCACCAAAGTACGTTCATCTCTAGGAGACAGAACGCGTCTCCTTCCTGAGCAGTATGACGGCTGTGTGGTCCCATGGTGTTTATACTTGCATACTATTGTTTGTACAGATGAACGTAGTACCTTCAGGCGTTTGGAAATTGCTCCCAAGGATGAAGCAGACTTGTGGAGGTCTACAAATTTTTTTTCAGAGGTCTGGCTGATTTCTTTAGATTTTCCCATGATGTCAAGCAAAGAGGCACTGAGTTTGAAGGTAGGCCTTGAAATACATCCACAGGTATACCTGCAATTGACTCAAATGATGTAAATTAGCCTATCAGAAGCTTCTAAAGCCATGACATCATTTTCTGGAATTTTCCAAGCTGTTTAAAGGCACAGTCAACTTAGTGTATGTAAACTTCTGTCTCAGTGGAATTGTGATACAGTGAATTATAAGTGAAATAATCTGTCTGTAAACAATTGTTGGAAAAATTACTTGTGTCATGCATAAAGTAGATGTCCTAACCGACTTGCCAAAACTATAGTTTGTTAACAACAAATTTGTGGAGTGGTTGAAAAACAAGTTTTAATGACTCCAACCTAAGTGTATGTAAATTTCCGACTTCAACTGTAGGTGTTTTTGCAGCAGTATTCGGGATATGCTCTGTTGTTTGCATACACACAAAAACCAATAGACAGTGATAGCACTGACCTCATCAACCTATTTATCTCTCTCTCTCTCTCTCTCGTCTCCTCTCTACATCTCTCTCCTCTCTCTCTCTCTCTCTCTCTCTCTCTCACTCTCTCTCTCTCTCTCTCTCTCTACTCCTCCACCTCCATTACAATGAGGCTGTCCATCCACCTATTATCATATTGCTGAATAGCACCAAAAAGATCTCTAAGGATCATGCCCTTGTACCTTCCTCATTATTATGTGTGATTGTGCAACATGGAATGTAACTGATGTGATTAAATGGAGTCCACAAAGATTCTTACTGGATGGTCATTGATTGCATGTCAGCATCACTACAGCCTGGAGTGTATTTCGTTCATTCTCAACCTCTATGTTGCTTTCTTCAGTAAGCATGTAAAGAACATAACTTGATTCAATCACATGAAGGACACAACACAGACAGAAAAGGATTAGACTACATGTACATTATTTCACATAAATTACTGGGTAACAAATCAGAGCAAGATTACTTAATGTAAGTACATTATTTACTTTCAGAAGTGAATGTATCAAACCAGTTGCCGTGATACGTTTTTTGTTGTTGTGCACTCTCCTCAAACAATAGCATGGTATTTTTTTCACTGTAATAGCTACTGTAAATTGGACAGTGCAGTTATATTAACAAGAATTTAAGCTTTCTGCCCGTATAAGACGTGTCTATGTCCTGGAAAGTTTGCAGTTACTTATAAAAGTAATGGTAATCACATTAGCGCACGTTAGCTCAACCGTCCTGTATACGGGACACCGATCCCGTAGAGGTTAAAGGTGCAACATGCGGCTGTATACGGGACACCGATCCCATAGAGGTTAAAGGTGCAACATGCGGTAATCGCTGTGGCATTTCCTGGTTACTAAAATTCTAATAGTTCAACTCATTTCAGTTTATGTGAAAAAACAAGCAGTCATTGTGTAGAGAATCATTGTACCATCTAAACCACTGTGAAATATATTTTCCATAACCAAAAATATTGTATTTTCAGCTGTTTGAAGCTGGTGTACAAAACCGAAAGTAAAAGATGCAAAAACGAAACTTAAGAACGGGAAGCATAGAAATAGCGCACATAGAACATATCTACCACTTCTCAGGCTTGTTTCAATGAGAATGACAGATCTATAACTCACATTTCTATGTGAATTTGGTAGTGTAGCCCAAAAAGTTACATATTGCAGCTTTCAAATTCAAAATGTTTATGATTCTTTTAGAATCAAATGTGATGCAATAGCAGAAGCATAGATTTACAGTGGGGGAAAAAAGTATTTAGTCAGCCACCAATTGTGCATGTTCTCCCACTTAAAAAGATGAGAGAGGCCTGTAATTTTCATCATAGGTACACGTCAACTATGACAGACAAAAAGAGAAAAAGAATTCTAGAAAATCACATTGTAGGATTTTTTATGAATTTATTTGCAAATTATGGTGGAAAATAAGTATTTGGTCAATAACAAAAGTTTCTCAATACTTTGTTATATACCCTTTGTTGGCAATGACACAGGTCAAACGTTTTCTGTAAGTCTTCACGAGGTTTTCACACACTGTTTCTGGTATGTTGGCCCATTCCTCCATGCAGATCTCCTCTAGAGCAGTGATGTTTTGGGGCTGTCGCTGGGCATCATGGACTTTCAACTCCCTCCAAAGATGTTCTATGGGGTTGAGATCTGGAGACTGGCTAGGCCACTCCAGGACCTTGAAATGCTTCTTTTCGAAGCCACTCCTTCGTTGCACGGGCGGTGTGTTTGGGATCATTGTCATGCTGAAGACCCAGCCACGTTTCATCTTCAATGCCCTTGCTGATGGAAGGAGGTTTTCACTGAAAATCTCACGATACATGGCCCCATTCATTCTTTCCTTTACACGGATCAGTCGTCCTGGTCCCTTTGCAGAAAAACAGCCCCAAAGTATGATGTTTCCACCCCCATGCTTCACAGTAGGTATGGTGTTCTTTGGATGCAACTCAGCATTCTTTGTCCTCCAAACACGACGAGTTGAGTTTTTTACCAAAAAGTTCTATTTTGGTTTCATCTGACCATATGACATTCTCCCAATCCTCTTCTGGATCATCCAAATGCACTCTAGCAAACTTCAGACGGGCCTGGACATGTACTGGCTTAAGCAGGGGGACACGTCTGGCACTGCAGGATTTGAGTCCCTGGCGGCGTAGTGTGTTACTGATGGTAGGCTTTGTTGCTTTGGTCCCAGCTCTCTGCAGGTCATTCACTAGGTCCCCCCGTGTGGTTCTGGGATTTTTGCTCACCGTTCTTGTGATCATTTTGACCCCACGGGGTGAGATCTTGCGTGGAGCCCCAGATCGAGGGAGATTATCAGTGGTCTTGTATGTCTTCCATTTCCTAATAATTGCTCCCACAGTTGATTTATTCAAACCAAGCTGCTTATCTTTTGCAGATTCAGTCTTCCCAGCCTGGTGCAGGTCTACAATTTTGTTTCTGGTGTCCTTTGACAGCTCTTTGGTCTTGGCCATAGTGGAGTTTGGAGTGTGACAGGTGTATTTTATACTGATAACAAGTTCAAACAGGTGCCATTAATACAGGTAACGAGTGGAGGACAGAGGAGCCTCTTAAAGAAGAAGTTACAGGTCTGTGAGAGCCAGAAATCTTGCTTGTTTGTAGGTGACCAAATACTTATTTTCCACCATAATTTGCAAATAAATTTATAAAAAATCCTACAATGTGATTTTCTGGAGAAAGAAAATTATCAGTTTGTCTGTCATAGTTGACGTGTACCTATGATGAAAATTACAGGCCTCTCTCATTTTTTTAAGTGGGAGAACTTGCACAATTGGTGGCTGACTAAATACTTTTTTCCCCCACTGTATAGTTAGGCAGAAGTCACCCGAGGACGTCCACTGATAAGGACAAGCTGGGACCGAGAGAATGAAAAACAGCTTCTATCTCAAGGCCATCAGACTGTTAAATAGCCATCACTAGCACATTAGAGGCTGCTGCTGCCTATTGAAATCAATGGCCACTTTAAGAAAAGGAACACTAGTCACTTTAATCATGTTTACATATCTTGCACTACTCATCTCATATGTATATACTGCATTCTATTCTATAATATTCTACTGTATCTTAGTCCATGCCGCTCTGTCATTGCTTGTCCATATATGTATATATTATTAAATCCCATTCCTTACTAGTTTCGTGTGTATTGGGTATATGTTGTGAAATTGTTAGATATTACTTGTTAGATATTACTGCACTGTCGGAGCTAGAAACACAAACATTTCGCTACACCCGCTATAAAATCTGCTAAACACGTGTATGTGACAAATACAATTTGATTTGATATGGGTGGTCATCTGTAGCTCAGCTGGTAGAGCACGGCGCTTGTAACGCCAAGGTAGTGGGTTCGATCCCCGGGACCACCCATACACAAAAAAAATGTATGCACGCATGACTGTAAGTCGCTTTGGATAAAAGCGTCTGCTAAATGGCATATTATTATTATATTATTTATATGAACGCATAATTTGAATAGATGAAGCAGCCCATATGTCCCATTTGCAGTCAGGGTAAAACAACTTAATCTCCTGTGATTCTTAATAAGTTGTTACCATGCTGCTCCTCTATCAGTAACCTATATGAAATACCTGATCTAAACTTCCAATCCTAGTTGATCTAGCTATCAGGTGCAACAACAAAAAAACTCCTGACCACTGATGCCCCCTGGTGGTCAAACTCAGTGTTAGGTAAAAACATGTTTTTACAAATTGTGCCACTGAATGATCTCTGTAACCAGCAGAGGATATTAATCTTACATAGATTCATTATTAGAAGTTTAAACTTGAATGCCTGTTACAGCAGTTTATGATATGTGCTGTTTCAGGACTTATTTGCATGCACAATTCAACAATTAGCTTGAACTTGAAATTAGTATTCTACAAAGAGGCTTATTAAAAAAGAATATTTATTTTTTTCTTCAAAAAAAGTCAATGTTTGTTGGCTCTGTAGTGTGTGGATGTGATAACTGTACAAAGTTAGCTGACTACATTTTAAAGACTACAAGCCCCAAGATCCGAAAGTAGGTTAGAATGATTCTGACGTCACGCTCCAGGAAATTGCAGTATGTACACAATGGACCTTCGAGGAAGTTAGTAAGAGCATATTATTTTTTGTTGTTGTTGAAAATATATCTTGAACGACATTTTAAATTGATATAAATTTAGCTTGTTCTGTAACCTTTACATTTCAGCAAACGAATTTGCGTAATTTACTGTTTGTTTGTTTTCTCCTAAATACTGACCACTAGATAGTTGAGCTATATGTAACGGTAGCTAGCTTCCATCTGCCCAATTCCTATCTATAGCTCACTGTGTTTTAATAGAGTTACCTAGCTAATGGTGTTCTCGGTTTGACTAACACGTTAGAATTGCAAACTAAGTCAGCCAGTCCCAGCATATTTAGCTAGCTAACTAGTGTGTTTGATGGCACTGATACTGCTTTTGTCCGTTGGAGGAAGAGGAAGATGACAGAGTAGGTGAATGACGCGCTGACTGAGCCACCAGACCACAGCGGGAACTGCGACTGACTGACGGACAGCGAGGCAGACAAAGAAGAGGAAGAATGCCGAGGAGAAAACAGTCGAACCCACAGCCCGTGAAACGTAAGTAAAGTGTAATAGCCTAGCTAGCTACTAGCCATGCTATCGACTGGGCAGTGAAGGAGTTACATCTTTCAATGTCAGAGATATTTTGCTACGTGTACGTACTACAGGAGTGATCCCTAGCTCATGGATGGTAACTAGATTAACTGTAACCTTAATCAATCAAATCCATCTTTGTACTGATTTGAAGTCTTGGGTTTGGATAGTTACATTATCTTTATTTATATATAACTTTGATACAGGATTAGGTCATTTAGTAACCGAGTTGAGGTGTACACAGTTGCTAAACCCCCGCCAGCTTACACAACTGAACACACTTTTTATTTTCTCGATCTCCTTTGTGTGTCATGCATGTGTGCATGTTATATTTTGGGGTTTAGGGGGTGTTTTTCATCCCCCCTCAACCCCTCAGGAATTTTGTTTATCTAACCGGGACGTCCTTCCCTTTTTCCCCCCACTTCCGGGGGGCCCCCTCCGACAGGCCCCACCCCTGCCCGACCTCCCCCCCCCCCCCCCACTCTCTCTCCCGGGCCCTCCCCCCCCCTCTCTCCCGCCCCCCCCCCTTTTTCTCCCCCCCCCTCCCCCCCCTCCCTCACCCCCCCTCCTTCCCCCTCTCCCCCCAAAAACTCTCTCCCTAAACCCCCCTCCCCCCCTCTTCCCCCCCCCTTCCCCCCCTCTCTCCCCCTCTCTCTCCCCCCTCTCTACCCCCCCCTTCCCCCCTCTCCCTCCCCCCCCCCTCCCCCCCTTTTCCCCCCCCTTTTCCCCCCTCATCTCTCCCGCTTTCCCCCCCTCTCCCCCCCCGCTTTCCACCCCCTCTCCCCCCGTCTCCCCTTCTCTCCCGCTTTCACCCCCCTTTTCCCCCCCCCTTTTTCCCCCCCCCCTCCTCCCCCCCGTTCCCCCCCCCATCTCTCCCGCCCATCTTCCCCCTCCCCCTCTTTTTTGTATTTTTGTAAAATGTTGTGTGTATTATAAAAGAAAGGTTTTTTTAGTGTAAGGGTTTGGGGTGTATTAAAAGTAGACGGGGTAAAAAGTAAAGATGTTGTTATTTTGTAGCGGTTTTAGTTAATGATGTTGTTGGATTTAGTAGACCGTGTGGTGGGAAAGAAAGTTGTGTATTATAGTAGCGGGTTGGGAGTGGGAAAGATGTTTGTTTATTTTGAAGACGGGGTAGTGTAGATGAGGGTATTTAGTAGGGCGGTTGTAGTGTAATAAAGTTGGGGTTTTATTATAGTAGACGGGTTTTTAGTGTAAAGATGATGGTATTATAGTAGACGGTGTTGGGAAAGATTTTGTGTATTAAGAGACTGGGTAGTGGGAATGATTTTTTGGTTTTTATTATATTTGACGGTTTTAGTGTAAGATTTTTTTGTTAAAAATAGACCGGTTTTAGTGTAATTTTATGTGTGTATTATTAGCCCGGTTTTTAGTGTAAAAGAAATTTTTTTTATTATAGTAGACGGTGGTTGGGGTTATTTTAAAGTTGTGTGTAAATTTTCGCCGGGTTTTAGTGTAATGGTGTTGTGTGTAAAAGGAAAGGTGTAGGGTAAATGTTTTGGTGTAAATTTTAGAGGGCGGGTGTAGTGTAATTATTTTTTGTATTTAGTAAAGGTTTTAGTGTAATAATGGTTTTTTTGTATTATATAAAAATTTTAGGGTAATGGTTGTGTATTTTTAGTAGATGGTTTTTGTGTAAAGATGTTTGTTTATTAAGTAGACGGTTTTTGTGTAATGATGTTGGGATTTAGTAGACGGTTTTTGTGTATTTTTGAAAATTTGTATTATGTCGACGGGGGGGGTAGTGTAAAGAATTTTTTGTATTTTTAGTAGACTTGTAAAGGGAATGATGTTGTGTGATTTTATTTGACCCGGGGTGTTTTAATGATTTTTTTTATTATTTGTAAAAGTGTAGTTTTTTTTGTTTGTATTTTATTTGACGGGTTTTTTTAAGTGTAAGGAGGGGGTGTGTATTATAGTAGAAAGGTGGTTAAGGAAAAATTTTGTTATTTATAGTAACGGGTAATGTAATGATGTGTGTATTATAGTAGACGGTGTATGTTTAAAGATGTTGGTTTAAGTGACCCGGGGTTGTGTAATGATGATGGGGTGGATTATGTAGGGCGGGGTTTTTGTGAATGAGGTTGTGTGTGGATATAGACGGTTTTTGGGGTGTAAAGGAGTGTGTGGGATTATAGTAGACGGTGCATGTAATGATTTTGTGTATTAAGACCCGGGGTAGTGGTAAAGGGGTGGGTATTATGAGACGGTTTTTTGTATGAAAGGGGTTTTATTGGGAGTAGCGGTTTGGGGTAATGATGTGTGTTTATAGTAAAAACGGTTTTAGGGTTAAGTGTTGTGTGTTTTATATAGACAGGTAAATGTAATTATGTTTTGGGGTTATTTTAGTAGACAGGATGTTAAGGGTTTTTTGGGGTATTATAGTAACGGTGTAGTGTAATGATGTTTTTGTTTAAGTAAGGGGGGCCCGGGTGTAGTGTAAAAGAGGGGGGGGGTAGCAGTAAAAAAGGTGTAGTTTTAATGATGGTTTGTGTGTATTAAGTAGACGGGGTAGTGTAATAAAAGTTTTGTATTTAGTAGACGGTTTTAGTTTAGTGGTTTTTGTATTGCCCCGTAGAAGGTTTTTAGTGTAAAGTTTTTTGTTTGTATTATAGTTTGAAAAGGTTTTTATGTAAATGATGTGTTTATTATGTAGACGGGTTTTTTAAATGTAATGATTGTGTATTATAGTAGACCCCTTTGGGAGTGTAAGGTTTTGTGATTATAGTAGACGATGTGTGTAAGATGTTTTGTTATTATAGGGCGGGTTTAGTGTAATGAGGTTGGGTATTATATTTGAACCCGGGGGGTTTGTGGTAATGATGGGTGTATTATAGTAGACTGGTTTTTGTGGAAGGAGTTGTGTTTTATAAAAATAAAAATTTTTTAAAATTAAAAAAAGACGGTGTGTTTTAATGATGGTTTTGTGTATAATAGTAGACGGTTTTATTTTAAAAGATGGGTTTTGGGTATTATAGTACGGTTTTAGTGTTTAAAATGATGTGTAAATTAATTTGTAGGCGGGGTAGTGAATGATGTTTTGGATTATATTGAACCTTTGTAGTGTAATGAGGGTTTGTTATTTTAAATAAGGCTTGTTTTGTAATGAATTTTTGGGGTATTAAGTAGAAGGTTTTTGTTTAATGATGTTTTTGTGGAAATTTTAGGAGACGGGTTAGGTAATTTTTGTTGTGTTTTATTTTAGGAGACTTTTTTTTTGTGGGTAGGGAATTTTTTGTGTATTTTATTAGACCGGTTTTAAGGGGAATGAGGTTTTGGTTTTTTATTTTAAAAGGAGGGGGTTTTTTGTATTTTGTAATGAGTTGTGTTATTAAATTTGCCCCGGGGTTTTTTTATTTTAAAGATTTTTTGTATTATAGTAGACGGTTGGTTTTAATGATGTTTTTTTTGTTTTATAGGAGACAGTGGGAGTGTAATGATGTTGTGGGATTAAAAAGAGGCTGTGTTGTGTAATTATGTTGGGGGGTTATAAGTAGACGATTTTTAGTTTTTAATAATGTTTGTTGTATAAAGTGAAAGGGGAAAGGGGGTAAAGATGTTGTGTATTTTTTAGTAGACTTAGTTTTAATGATGTTTGTGTTTTTGAATTTTTGTAGGGGGGCCTTGTTTTTTTTTAAATTATGGGTTTTGTGTAAATTTAGTAACAGTTTTATTAATGATTTTGGGGGAAATTTTAGGGAGACCCCCGGTTTTTAGTTGTTTTTTTGGGGTTAAAAAGGGGTTTTGTATTTTAGTAGGTGGTGTTAGGTAATGATGTTGTGTATTATAGTAAAGGGCGGTAGTGTAATGTTTTGGGTATTATTGGTTTTGGAAAGGTTTTTATTTAATGATGTTTTGTGTATTATGTGAGGGGTTTTTTAGGTAATGATGTGTGTAAAATTTTTGGAAAAGGTGTTAGTGTAAGATGTTTGTGTGTATTATTTTTGACGGTGTTTGTGGTAAAGATGTTGTGATTTAGTAGACGGGTTTTTAGTGTTGATTTTTGGTTTTATAGTAGAAGATTTTAGTTAATGATGTTTGGGGATTAAGGGGCCCGGGGTAAAGGGAATGAGTTGTGTTTTTTTATAGAAAACGGTTTTTTTGGTAATGATGGTTTTGTTTTATTATAGTAACGGGTAGTGTAATTTGGTGTAGTTAGTAGACGGTTGTTTTTGTGTAATTAAAGTTGGGGGGAAATTTTAGTAAAACGGGGGTTTTTTTTTGTGTAATTATGTTGTGTATTTAGTTTACGGTTTTTAGGTAATGAAGTTTTGTTTTGTTTTAAGTAGACGGTTGTAAGTAATGATGTTTGGGGATTATGAACGGTTTTAGGGTAAAAGATGTTTGGGTGTAATTTTAGTAATTGTTTTTTAGTTTTAAAGAGTTGTGTATTTTTAGTAACGGTTTTTAGGGAAAAGATGTTTTGTATTATAGTTTTACGGGTTTTATGTAAAGATGTTGTTTTGTTTATAGTAAAAAGGGTTTATGTAAGGTGTTGGGGTATATTTGTAGGGGCGGGTGTTTAAAGTAAAGATGTTGGGGTTTTATTTTTATAACGGTGTGTGGTATGAAAGTTTTTGTTTATAGTAGACTTTTTGTGTGTAATATGTTGTTATTTTAAATAGGGTTTTTAGGTAAAATTTTTGTGTTTTATTAATTTGACGGTTAGTGTTTAAGGGTGTTTTTGTATTCGTAGACGGTTTTTTTGTTTAAAAATGTTGTTGTGAAATTTTAGTAGACGGTGGTATTTTAATTAAGGGTTTTTGTTATTATAGTAGGGCGTTTTAGTGTAATGATGAGTGTGATTTTTAGACCCGGGGGGGTAGTGTAAATTTGTTTGGGTTTTTATTATATTGCCCGGTTTTTTGTGTTTGATGGTTTTGTTTATAGTAACGGGGTTTTTTAAGTGTAATGTGTTGTGTATTATGTAGACCCGGGGAATTATGTTTGGGGTATTTTAGTAGCCCCCGTGTGTTTTGATGTTTTTTATTATATTTGACGGTGTGTGTAATGATGTTTTGTGTAAAGTAAAACTGGGGGTAGTGTAATTTGGTTGTGTATTATGTAGACGTTTTTTTGTGTGATGTTGGGGTTTTTATAGTAGATGTTTTTGTGTAATGATGTTGTGGGGATTTAAATTAAGACCCCCTTTTTTAGGGTAATGATGTTGGGTGTTTAAGTAGGGCCGGGGGGTGTTTAAAGATGTTTTTGTATTAAGTAGACGGTTGGTTTTTTTTAATGATTTTTGGGGTTTATGTGACGGTGTATTTTAATGATTTTGTGTGTATTATGTAACAGTGGGAAAATTTTTTAAAGAATTTTTGTGTATTTGTCCGGGCTTGTTTGTATGAATGTTTTTTGTAAATTTAGTAACGGTGTAGTTTTTTAATGATGTTGTGTTTTATTAGTAAAGGGTGTAGTGTAATATTTTTGGGGTTTCCCATAGTAGACGGTTTGTTTTAATGTAATTTTTGTGTGGGATTATAGAGACGGTTTTTAGTGGGAAAATGTTGTGATTATGTGACCCGGGGTAGGTAATGGGTATGTTTGAATTTTTATTTGAATTTATTTAAAAATTTTTTTTAAATTTTTGAGTAACGGTTTTAGTGTAAAAGAATTTGTTTTTTATTTGAGACCCCGGGGTGTGTAATGATGTTGGTATTTAGTAGATGTGTAGGGTAAAGATGTTGTGGTTTTTATTTTGTAACGGGGTTTTTAGTGTTTAAAGATTTGTTTTGTTATAGTAGACGGTGTAGTGTAATGATGTTTGTTGTATTATATGAAAGGGTAGGGGTTTATGATGTGGGTATTATGTAGACGGGTTTTAGGGGAATTTTGGTTTTTGTTTTATTTTATTCCCGTTTAGTTAATATGAGTTTGTATTTAGTAACTTGTAATGATGTTGTGTAATAGTAACTTTAATGTAATTTTTTGTGTGTATTCAAATGACGGGGTAGGTAATGATGTTGGGGATTATAAAGGGGAGGCGGGTTTGTTTAATGATGGTTTTGTGTATTTTTAAGACGGTTTTAGTTTAATGATGTTTGGGGGATTATAGTAGACAGTGTAGTGTCAAAGAGTTGTGTGTATTTTTAGTAGACGGTGTATTTTTAAAGATTGGTGTATTTAGTAAAGGGGTAAATTTTAAAAGATTTTTTGGGTTATAGTAGACGGTGTAGTTTTTAATTTATGTTGTGTTTTTATAGTAGACTGGTAGTGTAAGATTTTTGTGATTAAGTAACCTTTTTTTGTTTAGTGTAAAGATGGGGTTTTTTGTATTATAGTAGACGGGTTTTTTAGTTTAATATGTTTTTGTGTTAAGTGACGGGTTAGGTAAAGATGGGTTTTTGTATTAAGGGAGACTTTTTAGTGTAATGGTTTTTTGGTTTTTTAATTAAAAAGGGTTTTAAACGGTTTTTTAGTTTTTTTAATGAAAGTTTGGGGGTATATTGAGAAAGGTGTATTTTTTATTTAAGGTGGGGTTAAATTTTGTAGACTTTTTTTAGGTTTTAAAAATGTATTTGGTATTATAGTAGACGGTTTTTAGTGTAATGATGTTGTTTTTTATTTGTAAAACGGGGTTTTTAGTGTAATAATGTTGTGTGTATTATAGTAGACTTTTTTAGGGAAAGATGTTGTGTTTATATAGAGGGTTTTTTAGTGTAATAGGTTTTGTATTTTTAGGGGACGGGTATGTTTTAAAAAGGGTTTTGGGGATTTAAATTTAAAGGTTTTTTTAGGGTTTAAAGATGGGTTTTTATTATATTTGCGGTGTAGGTAAAAAATGTTGTGTGGATTAAGTAACGGGTAAATGGGAATTTATGTTTTTTTATAGTAGACGGGTTTTTATTTTAAAATGTTGTTTTTGTATTAAGTTTGACGGGTGTATTTTTATGTTGGGTTTTGTATTTTAGTTTGCCGGTTTTAGTGTAATATTTGTTTATTATATTAGAAGGTGTAGTGTTTAAAAATGTTGTGTGTAAATTTGTAGACGGGGTTTTTAAAGTTTAATGATGTTTGTGTATTTAGTAGAAAGGTTTGTATGTAAAGTGTTGTGTATTAGAACGGGGTAGGGGAAAGATGTTTTGGGATTTATAGTGGCCGGGGTTTTATGTAATGGGGTTGTGGGATTAAGTAGACGTGTAGTGTAATTTATGTTTGTTTTTTTTTTGATATTTTTGACCCGGGGTTTTGTGTAAAGATGTTGTGTTTTTTGGAGACCCGGTTTTTAAAAATAATGAAAGTTTTGGGATTATGTAGACGGTTTTTTTAGGGGTAATGTGTTTGTTTTTATAGTAACGGTTTTAAGGGGGAAAGATTTGGGGTGTATTATAGGGAGACCCGGGGTAGTGTAATGATGTTTGTGTTTTTTATTTTAGTAAGGGCGGTTTATTTGTTTTAATGGAATTTTTGTGTGTATTATTTTTTGACCGGGGTTGGTTTTGTATTATGGGGGTTGTGTCTTTTGTATTCTGTAAATTGGGAATGTGTTGTTTTATAGTAGACGGGGGGTAGGGGGTAATAAATTTTTTGTGTATTATAGTAGACGGGGTAGGTAATGATGTTGTGTATTATTTGGAGACGGTTTTTGGGGGTAAAAAATGTTGGGGGTGTATTATGTAGAAAGGTGTGTTTTAATGATGTGTGTAAATTTTAGTTTGACGGGGTTTTTAGTGTAATATGAAAGTGTGGATTAATTTTTGTAGGCTTTTGTGTTTAAAATGGTTTTGATTATAGAGAAGGGTTTTATTTTAATGTGTTGTTTATTTTTGACGGATTGGGGGTGATGTTGTGTATTTTATAGACGGTTTTTTAGGGTAATGGGGTGTTTTTTATGTTTGACAGTGTAGTGTAAAGAATGTTTTTGGGTATTTTTTAAAGGGTGTATTTTTTCATTAAAATTTGTGTATTTCTGTAGGGCCGGTTTTGTGGTAATGATGTTTTGGATTATTTAGACGGTTTTAGTGAAAGATGGTTTTTATTATAGTTTTAAAGGTTTAGTGTAATGATTTTTTTGGTATTTAAATAGCCGGGTTTTTAGTGTAATGAATTTTTGTATTTATATTTGACGGTTGTATTGTTTATTAAAGTTTGTATTTTTAGTTAAAAACGGTTTTTAAATGTAATGTTTTGTGTATTATAGTAAACGGGGTGTGTAAAAGATGTTGGTATTTTTGTAACAGGTAGTGTAATGAGTTTGTGTAAATTTTAGTAGCGGGGTTTTGTGTAATGATGTTGTGTATTATAGTAGACGGTGTAGTGTAATGATGTTGTGTATTATAGTAGACGGTGTAGTGTAATGATGTTGTGTGTATTATAGTAGACGGTGTAGTGTAATGATGTTGTAATAGGTTTGTGTAGTTAATGACGGTGTGTGTAATGATGTTGTTGTATTATAGTAGACGGTGTAGTGTAATGATGTTGTGTATTATAGTAGACGGCAGTGGCGGCTCCTGAAAAAATTCTCAGGGGGGGGCAATTTTTCTGATGATTTAGGTGACCTACACACATTTTAAAAAAGATATGTCCAGCAACAACATGAAGACAGGGGCAGCATATAAGTCAATACCAGAAGCATTTATTGACTGATCTCAAAAGTGTTGGCTTACCAGGGTTGGGTGGAGCCCTCAGTTTCATCTTTGCCTCGCAAAGCTAACTCAAACACTCCGCAAAACTTCACACACTGGATTAGCCGGCTGAGGATGTGGCGGTTCTTGCTAATGTCGTAGTAAATATATTTGTTATAGTGAATATGGAATATGATATGTTGAGTAAAATGTTGTGCTAAGATCTATTTAGGTCAGGAGCTGGTTATAAGTTATGTTCCTATCCAATAACAATGGACAAAAGGGTCCTATCTTGTCAGCCTTGTCAGTTTCAGTTCTCCAGTAAACTTGTGATTATCAACACTAACCTCATCGTTGTGGCGGCGGACAGCTAGCCTGTATCCCTCATCCAGTTGAGTGGGAATGTTCACTCTCCCCAAAGCAGACAATCTCAAACAGCTATCCATGTGGGTCTTTGACAGCTCATGTTTCTTAATCTTTCCTGAAAGATGGTGCATGTCCGTTACACACCAGTCGCTGTCCAAGCGGTGCTGTCTGCCGTGCCGCCTTCAGGGTGAAAGAGTAAGCAGGGGGTAGCAGAAGACTGCATTAGCTACATCGCAGCCTGCTAGCCAGGTTTTTCGTTCGTACCAATTTTTGGAAAATCCTCGGGTGTAGGACTTCCCCCCTTTAGTAGAAACCTGTTGAATTATTAAATTTGGTCTGGGAGGTCCTAATTGTTTCGTTGCCAATTTATCTTCATTTGTTCGCCGACAAAAAGGAACTTCTTTCAAAGACACAATCGAGTTGGACTGAAGCCTAGCCATTTTGATAGTAGTAGTGAATTGATTGAGGCTGCTACCCGCTCTTTTCTTAGTTACGTTCATGGTTATGTTACGTATGACGAAAGCGCGTAAGTGCAAGCCCTCAGAAACCCATAGAGATTGTATTGAAAGCTCTGATATTTGAAAAAAATAGATTTTACATGGGAGTCTATGACAGACTTCTGGGCGATTTTCAACCTGACTGAAATCGCCCCAAAAGGGGGGGGGGGGCATTTGAAGCACGACTTTAGCCTGATTGGACATTTAGTGGCACTGTGGCAGATCAGACGTCTAGATTACAACACTGATAACTACTGTTGCCGTGATATAATTGATTAGAAAAAAAATCCCTTCCTTTTCCCGTTTGGCAGTGCGTCGCCCATATCGCCCTATTGAACACACCGCCCCTGGTAGACGGTGTAGTGTAATGATGTTGTGTGTATTATAGTAGACGGTGTAGTGTAATGATGTTGTGTATTATAGTAGACGGTGTAGTGTAATGATGTTGTGTGTATTATAGTAGACGGTGTGGAGAGTGATCCAGGATGCCTGGTTCTGGACAGTGACTTCCTGCTTAGTGGAGAGCTCTGTGAGTTTGGAGACACAGAGATCATGGGACTGGACAGAGACACAGGTCAGATACACACCCACACGCACGGATTTCCGAGTCCTTGACTAAATGCTGTTGTATCCCCCCTCTCTAACCCCCCCCCCCCCCTCGCTCTCCCTCTACAAGGTATGACGGAGTTCTCTCTGAGTGATGACAGCTCCAGCAGCCTTCCAGCTCCGGATGACTCCACCTTCCCAGCCTTCCTCTCCTGTAAGGGGTGTGGTCAACTGATTGGGGCCGACCTTGACCTAGGAGCGGGACTACACTTGGGGGCGGGACTCTACTGCACGACCTGTGAGGAGGGGGTCCAATCAGAATCGCACACAGCCTTGGCGGACACCTCACAAGGGGAGGAGTCAACCCCAGCCGTCCAATCCCACGGGAGGAAAGACAGGAAGAGGAGTAAGGCGGGTGATGAAGAAGCCTGTATGAAGCTGAACGCGTGCTCTCTGTGTAGTTTCTCCTCTCGCTACTCCAACCATCTAAAACGCCACATGAGGACCCATGATGGAGAGAAGCCCTACCACTGTCCCCACTGCCCCTACGCCTCTACACAGAGGGTCAACATGCAGAGACACACACGCACACACACCGGGGAGAAGCCCTACCTCTGCAACGCTTGCAGCTACGCCTGTAGTTCCCTGGGGAACCTGCGGAGGCACCAGCGCTCACACAGCCAGGAGCCCCGGCCGCAACGCACACACACGCTGACGAGACGCAGCAGACGGAAACACACACACCGGGATAACGGTGAAGGTAAGGGTACACAGTCAGTACAAACACACACCGGTCCGGTATGGCTCATTTGGTAGAGCATACGTTAAATGTATGCACGCATGACTGGAAGTCGTTTTTTTGAGCAAAAGTATGTGGACACCTGCTCGTCAAACATCTCATTCCAAAATCATGGGCATTAAATATGGAGTTGGTCCCCCCCCCTTTGCTGCTATAACAGCCTCCACTCTTCTGGGAAGGCTTTCCACTAGATGTTGGAACATTGCTGCAGGGACTTGCTTCCATTCAGCGACAAGAGCATTAGTGAGGTCGGGCACTGATGTTGAGGGGATTAGGCCTGGCTCGCAGTCGGTATTCCAATTCATCCCAAAGGTTTTCGATGGGGTTGACGTCAGGGCTCTGTGCAGGCCAGTCAATTTCTTCCATACCGATCTCGACAAACCATTTCTGTATGGAGCTCGCTTTGTGCACGGGGGCATTGTCATGCTGAAACAGGGAAGGGCCTTCCCCAAACCTTTGCCACAAAGTCCGAAGCACAAAATTGTCTAGAATGTCATTGTATTCTGTAGCGTAAAAATTTCCCTTCACTGGAACTTTGCTTATTTGAGCTGTTCTTGCCATAATATGGACTTGGTCTTTTACCAAATAGGGCTATCTTCTGTATACCAACCCTACCTTGTCACAACACAACTGATTGGCTCAAACACATTAAGAAGGAAAGAAATTCCACAAATTAACTTTTAACAAGGCACACCTGAAGCTGGTTGAGAGAATGCCAAGAGTGTGCAAAGCTGTCATGAAGGCAAAGGGTGGCTACTTTGAAGAATCTAAAAAATTAAATATATTTTGATTTGTTTAACAATTTTTTGGTTACTACATGAATCCATATGTGTTATTTCATAGTTTTGATGTCTTCAATATTATTCTACAATGTAGAAAATAGTACAAATAAAAGCAAAAACCCTGGAATGAGTACTTTTGACTGGTACTGTACACACACACCTGCTCAACACATTTACCCAAACAGCGTTGAAGGTACTCACTCATACTCTGAGTGATATGTTAGAGAATAGAGGATGGTTTTAGTGAGAACATTATGTCGAGTGGCGCAGTGGTCTAAGGCACTGCATCGCAGTGCTAGCTGTGCCACTAGAGATCCTGGTTCGAATCCAGGCTCTGTCGTAGCCGGCCGCGACCGGGAGACCCATGGGGCAGCGCACAATTGGCCCAGCGTCGTCCAGGGTAGGGGAGGGAATGGCCGGCAGGGATGTAGCTCAGTTGGTAGAGCATGGCGTTTGCAATGCCAGGGTTGTGGGTTCGATTCCCAGGGGGGGCCAGTATGAAAAAAATAAAAAATAAAATAATGTATGCACTCACTAACTGTAAGTCGCTCTGGATAAGAGCGTCTGCTAAATGACTAAAATGTAATGTAAAATGTCTGTAGTACACAGCTCCGAGTGAAAGGAGAAGTGTTGGTTAACTTCCTGAAACTGTTATAAAAGAGGAAGAACCTGTTTGGTTGGCTGGTTACGGAACTAACGGTCATTGGGTTGTGTATAGGGGTGTAAAGTTTCCACTCTGATGCTGCATTTGTAGCCATGTGGGAGGTGGGAATTTACCAGTTGTGAAGTCATAAATACCAGTTGGATGCATTCATGTGATTTGAACTCGTTGAGAAATGCAGATTGACTAATGGCCAACAAGCTGTGTCAACCATGAACTAAAAGTACAGCCATCATGCTTGTAAACAAATTATAGTGTTCAAAAACCATATTAATATATTGCTTTTTATAAATAATGCTTTGTTACATTTAACTGCCTAAATAAATAATAAATAAATAAAAATGTTGTTATAGAGGCCATTTCCTTAGTAGATGACCAAGGTCCCAGCTCAGCTGGTAGAGCACGGCGCTTGTAACGCCAAGGTAGTGGGTTCGATCCCCGGGACCACCCATACACAAACATGTATGCACGCATGACTGTAAGTCGCTTTGGATAAAAGCGTCTGCTAAATGGCATATTATATTATTATTATTATATTACTGAACAGTCCGTCACACCCCTAGTTGTGTGTTAATGTGTGTGTAATGTTCTCTCCTCCAGATGCCGTGGTGTCAGACCTGACCGTGTGTGTGAGGGAGGATTCTGATTTCCTCCAGACCCCACTCCTCCCCCGTCTCCCCCCCTCCGCCCCCCTCCCTGACCTCCTCTTCCCCCTCTGCTGTCGATCCTGCGGCCTCACCCTGGAGGGAGAAGGGGGAGAGACAGAGGGGGAGGGCGGAGGGCTGGTGTGTAATCAATGTTCTGAGTCACTCATCTCCAAGAAACCAGGCTCCCCCAGCCCCAGCCCCACTGACACACCCAGTAACACACTCCAGCCAGGAGCCAGTAAACTGTACCGCTGCCCTCTCTGCCCCTTCCTCTCCCTCTACCCCAACCACCTGGCTCGACACGCCCACACCCACAGCGGGGAGAAACCCCACCGCTGCCCGCAGTGCTCCTACGCCTCGGCCCACCTGGACAACCTTAAACGCCACCTCCGGGTCCACACAGGGGAGAAGCCCTACCGCTGTGCCCAGTGCGCGTACGCCTGCGGGAACCTGGCCAACCTGAGGCGCCACGAGAGGATTCACTCTGGAGCCAAGCCGTTCCACTGCTCTGTGTGCGGCTACAGCTGTAACCAGAGCATGAACCTGAAGAGACACATGCTGAGACACACGGGGGAGAAGCCTTACGGCTGTGCTGAGTGTGATTACACCACGGGACACTGGGACAACTACAAACGCCACCAGAGGAAACACGGACACAACGCCGACAGCTGGGATAAACACACACACCAGGACACTACTGCAGCAGACTGCGAGGACTGGAACACACAGGAGAAAACTGACACACCACCACATTCCACAGACCAACACTGGGTTCAAGAGACAGGGAGCCATAGCCAGAGAGAGGGAGAGATGTAGCCGGGGGGGGAGGGTGTGTGTGTGTGTGTGTGTGTGTGTGTTACACTGGTGACCCCTTCCTCTGCTCTCAGGCCTCAGAGGGGCGGGGCTTATCTCAGGTGCCTTTAGAGGCGGAGCTACATGAGTTGTTTTTCTTGATCTGAATGCTGCACTGACTTTTACCTTGGGCATTAAATGGCGTGTGGGCGTGCCATTCGAGATTGATCTTGTTTTTAAATCAGTGGATCCAATGTTTGAAATTGTTTTGATTGAGTTGTAGCCCATTTCAAAATCATGTATTTCATGTTTGTGTGACGAAGATTTTTTTTTTTTGTAAACTGCAATGAACCTAATTGTGAAAGTGTTTATTTTTGATGATATTTGAGTTATTTTGTTAATAATAATTATTTCAACAATGTTTCACAGCTGAGTGCAAGGCTACTCAGCGAATAGACTGGGCGACAGTCACGCTGCCTTATACATTTCTCCAATACTGAAATAAAGAACCTTTGTGGGTTTGTGCTCGTAATCGGAGTGGTTTGCAGATTGGTTTGGGTGGGATGTGTGATGCTGGTAGTCCATCGACAATATATTTCTTTCTCTCTAGTTTAGGGTATGTGGCTGTGTCAACAGGTGTTTCCTGACTGAATGGTGGGGGGTGGTTGGGGGTGGGGGGTCATATTATCAGGGACCCTTATGCAAAACGTGACTGGGATAGTAGTAAGATAGCAGACGCTCTCAGATCATCTACGCATGCACTTTTCAGTGTTTCTCTAAAGTGTGTGTGTGTCTGTGTGTGTGACCGAAGCACACAGAAGATGAGCACCAACACCCATGGGCCTGGTAGGATTCAAACTTTATCATATTGTTGTTATATTCTCTGGTCATTACTACCTGGTAGGATTAAACTTTATCATATTGTTGTTATATTCTCTGGTCATTACTACCTGATAGGATACTTTGTTATCATGATTCATATAGTGGGGAAAAAAAAGTATTTAGTCAGCCACCAATTGTGCAAGTTCTCCCACTTAAAAAGATGAGAGAGGCCTGTAATTTTCATCATAGGTACACGTCAACTATGACAGACAAAATTAGAATTTTTTTCTCCAGAAAATCACATTGTAGGATATTTAATGAATTTATTTGCAAATTATGGTGGAAAATAAGTATTTGGTCAATAACAAAAGTTTCTCAATACTTTGTTATATGCCCTTTGTTGGCAATGACACAGGTCAAACGTTTTCTGTAAGTCTTCACAAGGTTTTCACACACTGTTGCTGGTATTTTGGCCCAATCCTCCATGCAGATCTCCTCTAGAGCAGTGATGTTTTGGGGCTGTCGCTGGGCAACACGGACTTTCAACTCCCTCCAAAGATTTTCTATGGGGTTGAGATCTGGTGACTGGCTAGGCCACTCCAGGACCTTGAAATGCTTCTTACGAAGCCACTCCTTCGTTGCCCGGGCGGTATGTTTGGGATCATTGTCATGCTGAAAGACCCAGCCACGTTTCATCTTCAATGCCCTTGCTGATGGAAGGAGGTTTTCACTCAAAATCTCACGATACATGGCCCCATTCATTCTTTCCTTTACACGGATCAGTCGTCCTGGTCCCTTTGCAGAAAAACAGCCCCAAAGCATGATGTTTCCACCCCCATGCTTCACAGTAGGTATGGTGTTCTTTGGATGCAACTCAGCATTCTTTGTCCTCCAAACACGACGAATTGAGTTTTTACCAAAAAGTTATATTTTGGTTTCATCTGACCATATAACATTCTCCCAATCCTCTTCTGGATCATCCAAATGCACTCTAGCAAACTTCAGACGGGCCTGGACATGTACTGGCTTAAGCAGGGGGACACGCCTTGCACTGCAGGATTTGAGTCCCTGGCGGCGTAGTGTGTTACTGATGGTAGGCTTTGTTACTTTGGTCCCAGCTCTCTGCAGGTCATTCACTAGGTCCCCCCGTGTGGTTCTGGGATTTTTGCTCACCGTTCTTGTGATCATTTTGACCCCACGGGGTGAGATCTTGCGTGGAGCCCCAGATCGAGGGAGATTATCAGTGGTCTTGTATGTCTTCCATTTCCTAATAATTGCTCCCACAGTTGATTTCTTCAAACCAAGCTGCTTACCTATTGCAGATTCAGTCTTCCCAGCCTGGTGCAGGTCTACAATTTCGTTTCTGGTGTCCTTTGACAGCTCTTTGGTCTTGGCCATAGTGGAGTTTGGAGTGTGACTGTTTGAGGTTGTGGACAGGTGTCTTTTATACTGATAACAAGTTCAAACAGGTGCCATTAATACAGGTAACGAGTGGAGGACAGAGGAGCCTCTTAAAGAAGAAGTTACAGGTCTGTGAGAGCCAGAAATCTTGCTTGTTTGTAGGTGACCAAATACTTATTTTCCACCATAATTTGCAAATAAATTCATAAAAAATCCTACAATGTGATTTTCTGGAAAACAAATTTTCAATTTGTCTGTCATAGTTGACGTGTACCTATGATGAAAATTACAGGCCTCTCTCATCTTGTTAAGTGGGAGAACTTGCACAATTGGTGGCTGACTAAATACTTTTTTCCCCCCACTGTATATGTTAGACCGATTCTGTAATGACTTTAGAGGAAAGACCAATCTGTAGCACTAGCAACTAACACTTTATAACAACACAATAACTGTAGTGGAGGTTTGGTTCTGAGTTTGGGGGTCGGTGTCTCAGTCCCAGTTTCTCTCTGCCTTGTAGGGGAGTTCCCATCCGAAGCCGTTCCCCGGAGACATCCTGGAGTTTCCTCTGAATAAATACTTCTCCCATTTTGGAATTCATTACGGCGAGAGAGATGGGAGTGCCCTATGTAGCACATCTTACCTGCAGAGGTCTGTGTCCACACAGGACCGTCACCAGGGTTTGGGTTTTATTGAGCCCCCCTCCCAGCCATTATCACATTGGTTGCTGTAGCTTCATTCACCGATCTACAAACACAGCCTATTAGCTATACGATTAGCCGCTACACATTAACTCAGCACCGGGATTAAAAACTATAAAATATGTACAGAGGGATCTGTTAGCAGACAAATTATTTAGTAAACAAAAAAAAGTCTGCTTTACATAAAAAAAATTGTGGTTGCAGTTTTACAGCTAATTTCCTGCAATTCTACACATTTTGACATAGTTTGGGGAAAAAGTTGTGCAGTTTTATAGCTATTTTCCAGCAATTCTACACATTTTGCCATGACTCATGCCATGTTAATATGATATCTGAGTGACTAACAAAATCATTGGGGGGCCCCCTGAAGATCCGGGGCCTCATTTATAACCGTTGCGTACATTTGACACTAAATATCTGCGTGCGCCATTTCTGAAAACACCATGTACAAAATAATTATAAACTTGGCGCACGCCATACATGTGCATTTTCCCCCCAATATAAATCTGACCCATCCTGAAACTGCACGCGTGAAAACGAGTATTAAAAACTCAGCCTGAAAAAACGCCCAACATTTGTGGTGACAATATTACGCCCTTATTTGCTGTGAAAGTATTGGAATTAGCCCAGGGAAGTTACTAAAATAATTAGCAATGGCAAACTTGATTAAATGTCTGTTGGCAGAACGTTTAAAACTTTTACAATGACATTTGCTTTATCGGCAGTTAAAAAAAAACCTGTAAACAGATCGTTTGATTTCAATCACATTTTTGCGTTTACTTTTTCCCGAACCTAAATATGCTGCACTGCCCGCTAATTCTGAAACATTGTCTAGAAGCCTACTGTATGTCTACTCAGATTGTTATCAACTGTCTGTTCATGTTTGAAATTCGACTGAATATTACCATATAAAAACTGCGCTCCCTTTCAGATGTATAGAGAAAAATACTTATAGGCACAATTGAGAGATGTGTATGGTAATGTGTTGTACAAGCAGTCAGAATTAGACGTTCGTTCATGTTTCGCAAAACGTCAAATTTAGAAGTTGTTCCAAATGTCACATTTGGAAGTGTTTAAGGTTAGGTTAGGTTGGGGGGGGGGGGGGGGGGGGGGGGGGGGGGGGGGTGGTTTGTGGGGTGGCAAGCATATTCTCATGTCAAGCAAATTTGTTATAAATGCCAACTACATTTTGGGGTAAATGTTTTATGTATGCACAGATTATAAAGGAGGCCCCTAAAAAGGCTGCACTGCCCTCGAATTCAGAAACATTGTCTACTCTGGAAGAAAATACAACTACAATAGGCCCACTTACAGTGGTAACCTACACACCTGTTTCACAATTTGCGGGCAGTGTAGCATAATTAGGTTTGGGGGAAAGTAAATGCAAAACATTATTGAATTCAAACGATCTGGCTACAGGTCCACAACAATATGCAATTGTTTTTGTGTTACTATACTTGAGGACTTTTTGGGGACCAACAATTGATTCCCATTCAAAAACCTATTTTCCCTAATCCCTAATTCTAACCCTGACCCTAAACCTAACCCCGAAGCCTAAATTAGCCTTTTTACAAGTGAGGACTGGCAAAATGTCATCACTTCTCTGAATTTTTGTTGATTTACTATTCTCGTGAGGAATACTGGTACTCACAAGTATAGTAAAATGTGTACACACATACACTTGCTATGCTGTATTGACTGACTGTGTGTGTGTGTAGACTCGGAGACGAATGCTATTTGGTCGAGCCCTGAAGTCAGAGGTCAAATTGGACCCAGTGGAGTTTGTGGCACGGAGATATAAGGTAGCACACACTCACTCAGATTCAGTAAATGTATTTTTTTTGTGTGTGTGTGTGAGGTCATAGTTCCTCTAACTGTGTGTGTGTGTGTGTGAGTGTGTGTGTAGGTGAGGAACATGCTGGATGAGGTCCATCCTCCCAGGGACTTCTTCGCTCTGGTGAAGCCTGCTATAGACGACCATGATAGGTAGAGATGTCACCTTCGACATCCTGTTTCATAACTCTGAACACCAGGCCATGCTCTTCAGATACGGACTCAAGAAGTCCACACAGGTATGGGTAGGGATGGTGAGTGAGTGCGTGTGTCTTTGATGCGGGGGGGGGTAAGCTGTGCAACAATGTCTGATGTGATTGGTTGTAGATTGAGAAGCTTGGTTGTGATTGGTTACATATTGAGAAGGTCTGTTGTGATTGGTTACAGATTGAAAAGGTCTACGCCCAGATCCTGCCCACCTGGAAGAAGCTGTTTGAAAAGAAGCTGTAACCATGACGACAACAGTGGCCGTGTTATAGATTGGAACTCTGTCTACAGTTGAATTCCCTCCAGTTTGTTGTGGATCATGAGGTACAACAAGGAGAATCATAACAGATGACAATTTAACAGTACATATTTTTTTTTAAATGAAACTCCATATCCAGTGTAGGATGGCTGATACAGGGTCATGCATATTTTTATTTGAGTTTTTACGTTCAGGGTTACATTGTGAAAATTATGCAGATTTTATTTATACAGAAATAAAATACAGTAAAATCATTTCCCATTCCTCTGTGTGTCTCAGAGAGAGAGAGAGAGAGAGAGAGAGAGAGCACGAGAGAGAGAGAGAGAACGAGAGAGAAGGGAAGGGAAGGGGGGGGGGGGGGGGGGGGGGGGGGGGGAGTTACTTATTCTGTTTAAGGGATGCACATGGGGTAATTGGCAATACAGATTGAATGGCACCCTCAAAGCGTTACAGAAATGTAAAGGTAATTTCTGATTGTGCTGACACATGCAGTGTTTACCGTGAATGCAGTCTCCACTAACGTGGGAACATTGCCTTCCCATTTCAATCACGCTGTACTTCTGCGATGCGGATTGAATTGAGCCCTGAATTCCATCTCATATTGGTTGTTATGGTGATGTGGGACACGAATCGATGGAGAAAAAATATGAATCTGCTCTTTGTGCTTGTGTTCTGGGGAATGAAAAGGCGCGGTATATTGAAGGAAAGCATTTACTTTGAAACGTTCTCCAATTGTGTGAATGTGTGTTCATATGAATGTGTGTACAGCATCGCAGAGGAAAGCTAATTGATGATAACCCACTCCTCCACTCCTATGGTAGGAACCAGTTAGCTAGTAGTAGGCATAATATTGGTTATTTTATGGCAGAAGTAAAGTTAACACGTTTTACATCCCTGACAGTGTATAACAGTTTACCCTAAACTCAAAGTAGCCTAATCCGAACATATCAAATAAACAGGATGCATCAATTATTGCAAAATGAGAATGGAATGTTGCTGCTCCCAACTGCACAAATACTGTATAAACACATTCTCACTGTTTATATCTGCATATACACTGAGTGTACAAACATTAGGAACACCTTCCTAATATTGAGTTATTTTTTCCCTCAGAATATCATCAGGGTGCGGACTCTACAAGGTGTGGAAAGCATTCCACAGGGATGCTGGCCCATGTTGACTCCAATGCTTCACACAGTTGTGTCAAGTTGGCTGGATGTCCTTTGGGTGGTGGACCATTCTTGATACACACGGGAAAAACTGTTGAGTGTGAAAAACTCAGCAGTGTTGCAGTTCTTGACACACGACCATACTCCGGTCAAAGGCACTTTAATCTTTTGTCTTGTCCATTCACCCTCTGAATGGCTCACATACACAATCCATGTCTCAATTGTATCAAGGCTTAAAAATCCTTCTTTAGCCCTATTCGCACAGGACTAGTATTACTATAGATTGTCAGTTATGTAATTATTACCCCAGCATGTCGGTTTTTCCAGTGGACGATTCGGACGGGATTAGTTTTACCAAACTGCCCCGTAATTCATTTTTCCCCCTCATTGACCGTTATGATGGAAGTCTGGAGGCTCTTCTAGGCGTGAAGACATTTCAAATGTTTAGGGATCACCTAATATTGGCCTAATGGCCTTCAGTTCAGAGAAAGTCAAAAATAATAATGATCTATTAATAAGAACCATGAACTGGAACCTATGCCGACATTTAATTAACTGACGCATTCGGCAAAGTATCATTTCATTGGCACAATATCGTCCACTTTATCTTTTGAAAGAGAAGTATGGCTCTAGAAAAGTTGATATAGGACAAAACAGATCATTTATCTATAGGCTACCTGCATAGCACTTTGTTTTAACTATCAATTTGTTCCCATGTTCTTACCCAAACTGGGTGCATCACCTGTTCAAACTCTGTAATATCGTGAGACGTGAGACAGAGATGGTTGATCCCTAGACATTTTAACTGTCTTCACGCCGAGAAGAGCCTCCAGGCTTCCATCATAACGGTCAATGAGGGGGAAAAATGAATTACAGGGGCAGTTTGGTAAAACTAATCCCGTCCGAATCGTCCACTGGAAAAACAGACATGCTGGGGTAATAATGACATAACCGCCCTCCTATAGTAATACTAGTCCCGTGCGAATAGGGCTTAAGTCATGGAAAGAGCAGGAGTCCTTAATATTTTGTACACTCAGCGTATAGTCAGTCGTCCTTTCTCATGAAATGTCTCAAAAGGGACGTTTTGAGACCTCATGCTAGAGGTGTTGTGGCAGTTGGTGCAGCCTATTTGTGCACTGTGCGTCTCACTTTAGAAGGGTCAAATGTTGCTGTTTGTAATAAGGTGATCATACAGTTTAGAAAACAATTTTGAATTAACAGATTATTCCACAGTGCACTACAAAAGTGCACTTCAAAAGTAGTGCACTAAAGGAATAAGTTGTCCTGGTAACTGATCACAGTTTGGGTGTCATGGCAACCCCAGTGTTGTAGTGAGTGTCCTTCAGCCAGGAGATCAGAATGGTGTTCAGCTCAGACGGCCTGACACAAACACAAACACACACACACAATAAACACCCAAGTTATGCCACATACAGTGTTTGCCAATATACACAACTGTTTTAACCAATACACTGTACACACAGTTTATACCACAAAAAGCACCAACTGCCTTAGACACAGCTTTAACATACGGAGCAGAGCAGCAGTGACCCTATAACCTTTAACCCCTACTTGACCCAGTCTCCCTCAGCAGGGCTTTAGATCAGTGGTCGGGGGTCCAGTTAGTCATTCTGGTGACTAACTGGAGGCTGACTGCAGAGTTCACACAGTCAGCCCTCTATTGATCTGTGCAAGGACAAACACACACACACACACTGGGGCCCACCTTTCCATCTGGGTCCAGTGTCCACACTCCTCGATGTGTCCTCTTGTTAGGTTGGGGATCTGGCACACAGAGATGACACAGTCACATATGTCAATTACATGTATACATATGTGTGTATAAATGTGTGTGTGTGTGTGTGTGTGTGTGGTCTCACCATGTTTTCCATTCCCTTGGAGAAGACAGGCAGCAGAACAGGATCTTTACCAGCGGTCACCATGAGAGCTGGCATCAAGAGCTACACACACACACACACACACACACACACACACACACACACACACACACACACACACACACACACACACAGCAGAACAGGATCTTTACCAGCGGTCACCATGAGAGCTGGCATCAACAGCAGGAAAGCGCATCATTCATCAACATGTACTGTAACTGTGTAAACATACAACACACACAACACACACACCTACCTTAGCCCTGGGTCGGGAGCATAGCCATTTCCAGTTGCTCACAACATTACGGTACCAGTTCAACGGCCCTCTGGAAAACACAACACTGTCACTTCCTCCTCCTCCTAGTGTCTGTGTGTGTGTGTGTGTGTGTGTGTGTATACCTGAATCCCTTGTCTTTGAACTGAGTGATGTAGAACTGCAGAGCAGTCTCACTGAGGATAGAACTCCTTGGCATCTCCTCTGGTAGTCCTACAAACAGACCACCTGCACACAACACACACATTGTGAAGATTGATTGACAGCAATGCATTATGTTGCATAAGATTTACAGCACAGTATTGTCAATCCAGTCAGTTGATTAGTTGAATGCCATAGGTCAACCCTTCAGCCCCAAGCCTCCAATCAGAATGTAAGTTTCACTTCTTGACTCACCTCTGGCACAAACTCCAGCAGTGTTGATCTCAGGAACATTATCCTGGAGAACAACACAATAGAGATGATTCACGAGAGAGAGTGTGTGTGTGTGTGTGTGTGTGTGTGTGTGTGTGGGTCTGCGTGTGTGTGTGTGGGTCTGTCTGCGTGTGTGGGTCTGTCTGCGTGTGTGTGTGTGGGTCTGCGTGTGTGGGTCTGTCTGCGCGTGTGGGTCTGTCTGCGTGTGTGTGGTGTGTGGGTTGCGTGTGTGTGTGTGGGTCTGGTGTGTGTGTGTGGGATGCGTGTGTGTATGTGTGGGTCTGCGTGTGTGTGGTGTGGTCTGCGTGTGTGTGTGTGGGTCTGCGTGTGTGTGTGTGTGGGTCTGCGTGTGTGTGTGTGTGTGGTGGGTCTGCGTGTGTTGTGGGTCTGCGTGTGTGTTGTGGGTCTGAGTGTGTGTGTGGTGTGTGGGTCTGGCGTGTGTGTGTGTGGGTCTGCGTTGCGTGTGGTGGGTCTGCGTGTGTGGTGTGTGGGTCTGCGTGTGTGGGGTCTGCGTGTGTGTGTGTGGGTCTGCGTGTGTGTGTGTGGGTCTGCGTGTGTGTGTGTGGGTCTGCGTGTGTGTGTGTGGGTCTGCGTGTGTGTGTGTGGGTCTGCGTGTTGTGGTGCGTTGGTGTGTGTGTGGGTTGCTGGTTATGTTGGTAGTGTGGGTTCTGCGTGTGTGTGTGTGGGTCTGCGTGTGTGTGTGTGGGTCTGCGTGTGTGTGTGTGGTCTGCGTTGTGTGTGGGGTCTGCGTGTGTGTGTGTGGGTCGCGTGTGTGTATGGTGGTTCTGTGTGGGCTCTGGTAGCGTGGGGTCTGCGTGCGTGTGTGTGGGTCTGCGTGCGTGTGGTGGGTCTGCGTGTGTGTGTGTGGGTCTGCGTGTGTGTATGTGTGGGTCTGCGTGCGTGCGTGTGGGTGGGTCTGCGTGTGTGTGGGTGTCACCTTATCTCCACTGCCAGAGAAGAAGATCTTGAAGGTCCTTGCCAGGTCTTTCTCCAACTCAGCCTCTGCTACACCCTGTAGATGAGTTACATAAGGAAAGGTCTCTGCTAGCTACACCCTGTAGATGAGTTACATAGGAAAGGTCTCTGCTAGCTACACCCTGTAGAGTGAGTTACATAAGGAAAGGTCTCTGCTAGCTAACCTGTAGATGATTACATAGGAAAGGTCTCTGCTAGCTAACCCTGTAGATGAGTTACATAAGGAAAGGTCTCTGCTAGCTACACCCTGTAGATGAGTTACTAAGGAAAGGTCTCTGCTAGCTACACCCTGTAGATGAGTTACATAAGGAAAGGTCTCTGCTAGCTACATCGTGTAGATGAGTTACATAGGAAAGGTCTCTGCTAGCTACATCGTGTAGATGAGTTACATAAGGAAAGGTCTCTGCTAGCTACACCCTGTAGATAGTTACATAAGGAAAGGTCTCTGCTAGCTACACCTGTAGATGAGTTACATAAGGAAAGGTCTCTGCTAGCTACACCCTGTAGATGAGTTACATAAGGAAAGGTCTTGCTAGCTACATCGTGTAGATGAGTTACATAAGGAAAGGTCTCTGCTAGCTACACCCTGTAGATGAGTTCATAAGGAAAGGTCCTGCTAGCTACACCCTGTAGATGAGTTACATAAGGAAAGGTCTCTGCTAGCTACACCCTGTAGATGAGTTACATAAGGAAAGGTCTCGCTAGCTACACCCTGTAGATGAGTTACATAAGGAAAGGTCTCTGCTAGCTACATCGTGTAGATGAGTTACTAAGGAAAGGTCTCTGCTAGCTACACCCTGTAGATGGTTAATAAGGAAGGTCTCTGCTAGCTACACCCTGTAGATGAGTTACATAAGGAAGGTCTCTGCTAGCTAACCCTGTAGATGAGTTACATAAGGAAAGGTCTCTGCTAGCTACACCCTGTAGATGGTTACATAAGGAAAGGTCTCTGCTAGCTACACCCTGTAGATGAGTTACATAGGAAAGGTCTCTGCTAGCTACACCCTGTAGATGAGTTACATAAGGAAAGGTCCTGCTAGCTACACCCTGTAGATGAGTTACATAAGGAAAGGTCTCTGCTAGCTACACCCTGTAGATGAGTTACATAAGGAAGGTCTCTGCTAGCTCACCCTGTAGATGTGTTACATAAGGAAGGTCTCTGCTAGCTACACCCTGTAGGATGAGTACTAAGGAAAGGTCTCTGCTAGTACACCCTGTAGATGAGTTACATAAGGAAAGGTCTCTGCTAGCTACATCGTGTAGATGAGTTACATAAGGAAGGTCTCTGCTAGCTACCCCTGTAGATGAGTTACATAAGGAAAGGTCTCTGCTAGCTACACCCTGTAGATGAGTTACATAGGAAAGGTCTCTGCTAGCTACACCCTGTAGATGAGTTACATAAGGAAAGGTCTCTGCTAGCTACACCCTGTAGATGAGTTACATAAGGAAAGGTCTCTGCTAGCTACACCCTGTAGATGAGTTACATAAGGAAAGGTCTCTGCTAGCTACACCCTGTAGATGAGTTACATAAGGAAAGGTCTCTGCTAGCTACACCCTGTAGATGAGTTACATAAGGAAAGGTCTCTGCTAGCTACACCCTGTAGATGAGTTACATAAGGAAAGGTCTCTGCTAGCTACACCCTGTAGATTAGTTACATAAGGAAAGGTCTCTGCTAGCTACACCCTGTAGATTAGTTACGGTCATGCTACACTATAGTCCATCAGGTGGCCGGTATTGCCATCAGCCATCAGCCATCAGCCTTCAGCCTTCAGCCATTGAGAAAATGCTTCCTTTGAAATCAATGAAAGCTGCTATACTGCCCGTGTTGCGCCACGTCCAATGGCAGGGTCCAAGCTCAAAAATCGCAGAGGTTCAATTCTCGATGGCTGACGCGTGTTCATTCTATTTTGTGAATTGAAATAATGAGAAATAAAGTTGATTTTGGTTGCAATATGGCCTCGACTATACACCACTGGTTATTGTACTAAGATTTATGAAGTCAAGAAGCTACTAGCTAGTAGAAACTCTACATTGACCAGGTTCACAATGTAAATAAAAGCAGCTTGTGTAATTAGAGGATCATTTAGTACAACCACTAGCAACAATTTAATGAGTACTTGCGAAAAACTGGACCAAAGCCCAACCAGCTTTCACAATCTCACGTCAGAATGAGACGTTCATCCATGTTTCTCAAACGTCAAATTTCGAAGTTGTTCAAACATCACATTTTAGAGTGTTTAAGGTTGAGTTTAGACATTAACTCCAAATGGTTAAGGTTTGGGATAGGCTTAAAAACAACTTTCTATCGAACTTCCAACCTTTGGAATCAGTCAGATGCTTACGCCCATCCACCATCTCCATCCACAACACCCTAGCAAAACCCAAACCTTCTTGAAGGTAACAGCGCTCACTGTTGGTTGCCCCTAGTGGCCGGTTTCCACATCATCTCCGACGTCCACAGACATGGATGGACGTCGAATACTGACTTCTATAAACGGGTGACCTGGCTACCAAAGCTATTGTACTGATGCATAATGGATGAATATGGTGCAGTACAGTAGGGGGGAATAGAATAAAGATGATCTCCTCTGCTCTCCCCCTCTGCTCTCCTCTGCTCTCTAAACAGGCTTTGTGTAGCAGGTAGAACGTCACATTGACACGACACTGATGGCAACGCAATGCATATAGTGTTCCATAAGGGAAGACTCTTCTACATCCTGGAGATTAGTTACATAAGGAAAGTTTGCATTTCATTTCTAATGGGAAACAACAATACCCTTGGAAAAGTGGAGACGTCGCACAACATCAAAAAAGTAAACATTGATGGAAACACATTGCCACTTTGGAGACACTGTCGTGCTAGCTAGCAAGAAGATTTACAGTGGCTAATTAACGGTAAATATGTGAATTGTCTTGCCTCGTAGTTAGCCAAGATGCTAAGCTAGCCTGCATAAAAATAAAAAAAAGCTAGTTAGCAATTGCTTCTACGCTATTTTGCTAGCTACTGTAGCGCTGCCGTGTCAATAATAACCTGTCTCCAAAAATGACGCGGTGTTTCCAGTTGTGTTTACGTTTGACTATTGTGACACACATCCATGCCTATTAACTTTCTATGCATATTGCAAACATGACTGCAGCTAACTACAAGGGACAGTCTAAGTCATTGATTCTTTGTGTCAATCAACAAAAAAAGACTAATCAAAAACTTGAGTGGTGTATACCCCTAGTGACGTACAGACGACGACTTAGGGTCAAACCCAGCTGGTCACACTAACAGGGATCTAACACCGGCAGAGGGGCGTGCGCGCACACACACACACACACACACACACACTTACAGGGTCCTGGAAGTAGAGCTGGTAGTCAAATATGGGCACAGTCTTCATGAACTCCATTGGATCCTTGGAAGGGTCCACAGGGAACAGAGGGGTGTTCAGAGAAGCTACCGCTCTGCACACACACACACACACACACACACACCAGGTATTGGTTTAATTCTTTACTTTACTGTCTCAGGGAGTGTGTGTGTATGTGTGTGTGCATACGTGTGTGTACAAGGTTAGCTGTACAAGACTGTGTGTGTGTGTGTTAAGGTACCACACACCTAACGTGCGTAGATCTATTTATCTATCTACACACGTGCGTGCTCTTGCGTGGAGTCAGATTGTTTTGGGAGCAACGTGCACCTTTTGTAACATGATACCCTTGCCGGTCCATGTGTTCCTAAACCCCCCAATAGCAACATACACAAGGGGGCGATAGCAGAGATTTTCTTGTTGTCTTCCCATTTGTGGTAAAAGCAACTACAAGGAGCCGCCCATTTTGTGACGTAAAACGACGTTCACATACTCCGTTGCGCTGCATTTGCGTAAGGTGTGTCTACCTGACTCTCTCTGGATGACATCGGGCCATGTTCCAGACCACAGCTCCACCCCAATCATGACCAACCAGAGTCACCTGGGGAATACCCTGAGAGAGAGCGACAGAAAGAAAGAAAGGAGGGGGGGGGTTTAAAGGAAGCGTTGAACTCTTCCTGTAGCATCACACCGCCTATGTGGCGACTAATACTTCACCCTCATAGATTAACATACAGGGCTGATTAATACTTCACCCTCATAGATTAACATACAGGGCTGATTAATACTTCACCCTCATAGATTAACATACAGGGCTGATTAATACTTCACCCACATAGATTAACATACAGGGCTGATTAATACTTCACCCTCATAGATTAACATACAGGGCTGATTAATACTTCACCCTCATAGATTAACATACAGGGCTGATTAATACTTAACCCACATAGATTAACATACAGGGCTGATTATTGGGAGTGGACCCACCATTTTATCCATGAACGTCACAAGATCCTACAACAGAGACAAGAACACACAGCAAAACCATTAAAATCACGTCAAGGACAGACAGAGGATGTTTTGTTTGTATGTCCCTTACCTGGCAGATCTGTTCCTGCGAGTACTCCTCTATGTCTTGAGAGAGAAAGTGTGGCAGAGGAAGAGAGTGTGTTATTGAACTTGAATAAATAAATCTTGTCTGTAATAATGATGGTGTTCCTATTGTGTTTTATTGACCAGTCCCCCAACAGCAGGGAGATGGGGAAACCAGGCTTAAAACGGTTCAACTAACAGCAGGGAGATGGGGAAACCAGGCTCAAAACTGTTCAACTAACAGCAGGGAGATGGGGAAACCAGGCTCTAAAACTGTTCAACTAACAGCAGGGAGATGGGGAAACCAGGCTTAAAACTGTTCAACTAAGAGCAGGGAGATGGGGGAAACCAGGCTTAAATCTAAACTTAAAACTGTAAAACCATGTAAAGAGACAGTGTCAGTAAACCATGTACGTGTCTACAGTCACAACTGTATTTCTCTAACGTGTACGTGTCTACAGTTATATTTTATATATTTTTTGTTTCAACCCTTAACCCTTACCTTAACCCTTACCTTAACCCTTACCTTAACCCTTAGGAATGAATGCCTAAACTTATCAGTCGAAATGTGCACACACACACTAACCTTGTGGAGCTGTAGACTCTCCATAGCCCTTCATGTCCAGAGATAACACTCTAAACCCTGCATCAGCTAGAGCTGGGATCTGAGAGAGCGAGAGAGAGAGATAGAGAGAGATAGAGAGCGATAGAGAGCGATAGAGAGCGATAGAGAGAGATACAGAGCGAGAGAGAGAGATACAGAGCGAGAGAGAGAGATACAGAGCGAGAGAGAGAGATACAGAGCGATAGAGAGTGAGTGAGTAGTTGTGTGTGTGTGTGTGTGCTTGTGTATGTGTGTTTACCTGGTATCTCCATGAGTACCAGCTCTCAGGGAAGCCATGACACAGCATGACTGGAGGCCCCGCCCCCATCTCCACATAGTGCAGCTTTACACCGGGCTAGAGAGAGAGACATACAGGGGGGGGGGGGGGGGGTGAGTGAGTTCTTCATTAAAGTAATACCATTGTGTAATCATGTATACTCTTTCTGCTACATACAGCATTGTGTGTGTTGTTACCTTGATGGTGATATATCCATGAGAGACTTCCTCTGGGTTGCAAGAGGCTGGGTAGCTTTCCCCTGTTACCACCTAGAACACACACACACACACACACACACACACACACTTCTCCTCCATAACAAAACCAACATTGAATAGTAGGCTACTTGATTGATTCCCTGAGGAAATTTAAATTATAGACATAAAGGGAGATATTATCTATCTGCTACCCTCAGAACAGAGTTTCCTGAAATCACCATAACATTTTAAATACAAGACTTTAATTTAAAAAGGGGTTTGGAATAATGCGGCTGGCTAATGTACCAGGGAAGTCGGAGACAACACGTTTACTTTAAATCTGAAAAATAACCATCACATTCTCACAGACATTGTTACTGACAAGGAAAGTTACAGCATATCATTGTGTGTGTGTGTGTGTGTATGTGTGTTACCTGTACTCCAGTGAAAGTCTCTACTTGTTTCAGAGCTTCAGGCAGGTCCTTCACCAGAACAGCTGTCATCCCTACTGCCTCTGCTGCTCCCACCCCCTCCTCATCATCAGCCAACCACAGAGCCTGAAATACAGACTGACAGGTCAGCTGTCCACTCACAACACCTGGAACGCAGTGGTCTAGGGGAAGGTTTGAAGAAGGAGAGGAAAGACCAGGACCGGCTCAAGGCATAAGCAACATTAGGGCCCAGGCTGTTTCAGTATTGAGCGTTAGAATAGTAGAATACACAAGTTGCAAGTTCGAAATGTGGTTGTGCGTCAGCTATTTTTATCTTGTTGTGTCAGTCACGTCACATGTTAGCCATGTCAGCTAACAATTTTTCGATTGGCAAGTTAGCCAACTTAGTAGTAATCATGGCCAAATACCGACCGGGCACGCAGAGCATGTGCCCAGGGGCCCTGACCTCCAGGGGACCCCCATTGATTGTGTTAGTCACCCTCACTCAGATATCATTAACATGGCACAAGGGTGGCTTTATGTGCTAGTAGGAAATGGGAAACTGGGAATTCATAAGTCCGACATGATTGTGTTCACGTGCTTTTGAAGTCGGAACAATTCTTCAACCAATTCGATTTTAGCTAGCTTGATAAGCTGGCTACTGTTGCTAATAATAAAGTTTGCTAGCTTGCTGTCAATAACTCCCGACAGCACGTGAACGCGGCATCGGTCATGGCAAAATGTGTAGAATTGTAGGAAATTATCTTGAAAAAATTTATCTCCACTCCATGGCAAAATGAGTAGAATTGCATGAAATGTGTTATAAAGAGAGAAGGAAGTATGAGAACTATCACCATTGTCTGCCCACACTACTGAAAATGGCCCTGCCTCCATGAACCTGCCTCTGACTGGGCTTGAACCAGGGTCCACTACCTCGCCAACACACGTGGTCCTCTGTAGCTCAGCTGGTAGAGCATGGCGCTTGTAACGCCAGGGTAGTGGGTTCGATCCCCGGGACCACCCATACGTAAAAATGTATGCACACATGAATGTAGGTCGCTTTGGATAAAAGCGTCTGCTAAATGACATATTATTATTATTATTATTATTATTATTATGATGATGTGACCACCCGCTTGACAACGTACAAACCAGTTAAGTTATAGAAAAGGATCCAATTCGATAGCACTATTGGCAACATTTCAAGTTAGCTGTGGAGTGAGCTTACAGCACATTCTTAACTCTGTTACACATAACTTCCTGTTGTTAAATGACACAATAGCTGAGAGCAACTCTACACAGGGAGGTCAGATAAGGATTTCTAGTGCCATGTGCAAACGTTGTAAACTGAGATGTATAAAGGCAGGTGTGTGTCTGGTTTTAGGAATGTGCATGTAAGGAATTTAATGACTTTTTCCATGGGAGGTGGAAGCAGTGACTTCAAGACATTGATATCAGGAGCCGTTGCAAATATGATCAAAATGTTATTGATTACATTTAATTTTGACTTTTAATAAAGTTATCATATGTGCTGAGCTCAGCCTTTACAGACAGATAGGTCACCACTACCTTCTCTGGGGGCACTACCGCTAGGCCTTGGTGTGTCTGTGTACCTGTTCTGGGGGCACTACCGCTGGGCCTTGGTGTGTCTGTGTACCTGTTCTGGGGGCACTCCCGCTGGGCCTTGGTGTGTCTGTGTACCTGTTCTGGAGGCACTCCCAGCTGTGTGAGAGCGGAGGTGAACAGGTCGGTTTCTGGGACCCTGAGGCCTGTACGACAGGACTGTAGCACCACATCAAAATGGCCGCCCAGCAGAGACAGGAGCCGGCCAGAGCTATCTCCACACCCACTGTCATCCACCCACTGGTTGGCCAACACACCTGTCAATAACCCTGACAGACAACACAAAGAAACGGGACTTGGCATGTGACCTTAGACTGTACAATGTGAACTCTGTGTCAGGTGTGTGTGTATATGTGTGTTACCTTGTCTGCGGAGCGTAGCTACGGTCTGCAGAATATGTTTGTTGACGGTGGTCGAGTCTCTGAATTCCTCCAACAGGCTCTTAACAGAGAACCCAGCAGGAAGACTGACCTTCTGGTCGGACGCTGCACTCACACACTCTGCATCAAGCTCTGGGATCATCTACACCGTAGTAGACACACACACACACACAATGACTTGTCGTCACTTGTCACGTAAGGTGATGCAAGAATTTCCATGGAAGGCAAGTTTCAATTGAAGGCACATGTCAATAGAAGGCACATGTCAATAGAAGGCACATTCCAATGGGTCATAATATACATAGACTATACTATTTCTGCTGTGTCATGTATGGAGGGTGTGACGCAATTGTGGAGCCTCCAGAGTCATGCAGAGGCCAAATTGAGCTCCGTACCGCATCACCGTGCGCCTTAATTTTTGTAACAATGTGGAGGGCTCCTTATAGCTCCACACTGACATGATTGGTTGACGGTAGGTGAGGGGGCGGGAGGTCCTGTATGAACACGAACTGACTTCCTTGACAACTTCCTTGACAACAGCTCTGCTCAACAGCTCTGCGCAGCTCAGCGAAGCGTTAAGAAGTATGAATCCCCTGACTTCTGCAGAGGCTGTATAACCGTAAACGCTGCAAGGCCCAACGCAGATGTCGGATTGACCATGCAGCGCCTTTCACTCACCTGAGAGAGTGTGAGTTTGCCCCGCTCTGCGCGTTGCATGGCGCTGTGCTTGTCAGTCACCACCTTCTCCAGAAAACCACTAAAAAAACAGAACCATAAATTTACACATGTTGCACCACACTACTCTATTGCGGCTTTGACTTTATCAGTTGTTAGTTTAATTATTACATTTTACAATCGAGGTATAGACGCGTACAACACCTCATACCACACACACACAATAAGTCTGTCTGTCTGTGAGTTTAGCGCCATTTCGGATGGATTTATTTAAAAAATACTCCATATTCCCTTCCATTCAGTCCACGTAAAAATGTTGTCCCATGCTTTTTCGCTTTCAGAATGATTTGGGACAAGTAAAATGGGCTGCAATACAAGGCTATGCGGGATGTAGAATAGTAGGGGGTAACTAGCCCCCTGGGGTAACTGCCCCCCCCCCCTCCCCTCTGTAATTCACATTCAGATCGTCGGAGGTAAAATACATAAAAATATATAACGTAACTTAATTTCAGTTGTAAATGTTTCCAATAGTGACTGATAGCTTTACAGTTAATGCAGCTTTATAGCCTTTTAGCTATTTTACACAGCAGTCATATAGCTAGCTTTCAATTAGCATCTCTCCCCATGTTTTCAGTCACAGGTGGGGACTGGATTAGGTGTGAGCAGTTCAGGAGGTGGACTCCAGTTTGACTGGGGATAGCTTTATTTGTGATCTACAGGTACAAATTAGAATCGTGCAATAGCAGAGCATAAGAGAGTTGCCACATCAATGTTACACTGAGTTAATTAGTTATTGTTATTAAATGTTATATTCCAATGTTATTTAATGTTATTTATATTCCAATATTATATTCCAATGAATTTTGTTTTTATGAATTAAAAAACAACTGTTGAAAACCTTTTGCTCCTGAATGTAATTTTAAAGACTGCTGGGATTTAAAATCTTGCATTATTCAAATCATATTTAGTGCAATTATACATAATGGATTGTTTGGAAAAGGAACAACAAACAAAGAACATTCATGTGCAGATGAGTCAAAAAGAAGGACTTTACATCAAATCTCCTCATAGTGCAGATATTAATGGTGACGTGCAACACCATCCCCCCCCCCATATTTTATTTAAATCATTAAAATAAGACAAATAGACTTAGCTTTTAAGTAGTACTTAGTAAAGAATTTAAAAAATAAAACTGATTAAATGGATTTTAACACACTAGTGTGAAACCCTATGCCATAATCTTCTACCCCCTATACCTCCTAGCACCCTACCCACTGGGCAAAAACGGGTTGAATCAACAAGTCATAAAAATAAATAACAATAATAATAATAATAATAATGTGATGACGTTGAATCAACGTGGAAAACTGATTGGATTTCCAAAAAGTAATCAATATTAGAGTTGTCTTTTCTTCACCCATCTTTTAACCTAAATCCAATGACATGGTGAAATGTTTTGTTGATTTCACGTTGAATTCACGTTAGTTGACAACTCACCCAAATTTGGGAAACCCTGGACTAGACTATGGTCAAACTGTAATTTCAGTAACAAAATCACCGTGTTGTTGTTGTGTTGCGTAGCCAAATGTTTATTATTCCGAACATACGCAGAACTAACTACTATTTCAGTGTCCATCAACATGCGCTGAACAATGCATGGACAAATATTGATTCCTACCGGGGGAGTTTGTGGGTTTCTTCGAATTTGAGTAAAACTTCTGCGGGTCTGGGAGAAACAACGACCCCCCACAGGTTGAACAAAACCGCCTTCTTGTTCGCCATTTCATCGATTTCTCTGTCCGGGCGAATCTCTACCGAGCACAGGGGAGTAGAGTGACAAAGTTCAATTCTGACCTACTAAAACAATTTATGTAGCATAAAGTGGGCTATCCTATCGCTACACAACTCCTCCCCTAAATGAATGGATGCGTTCCAGGTCGTCTTTATTGTAGCCGCCCCGCTGCGCACATGATAAACTGCTACTGTAACGGTGTAAATGAATTGTGTTCAATTCCTGCATAAAATGGTGTGGTAGAAATATTAGTTCAATAATATCTCTCAGAAAGCGGAGCTTGTGAATTCAGTATAGACTTTATTACAAAGTAACAAGCCAAGCTGGTTCATGGAGCAACTGTCTATGCTGACTTGGAGCTCTCCTTTTATACAGTTTCATACTTACATAACATACATAGTAATGCTTACATACATAGACACTACTCTTTATGTAAATGTTTAACGTCTTTTAGTGCCACGCCACTATTTGCTTCCAAAGTCAAAGCGTTATCTCTCTAGGCGCGGTATCCACTCCCCTTTGCCTCTTATCACATTATATTGGTGGCGTGACCAGGACACTTTCCCCAAAAATAATATACATACATAAGTTAAAGGATAATTACATAATGTGTTGACTATAGTTACTATCCAGGCATGCATCTGGATTAGAAAGTGTCAATCATGCTTATTCTGTTTTGCCCTTATCATTTCATATTGACTGTGTACCGGTACCTCCTGTATATAGCCTCGCTACTGTTATTTTACTTATTTTACTATTTGTTATTTGAATTGTTTTGTTATCCATTTTTTACTGACCACGTATTTTTCTTAAAACTGCATTGTTGGTTAAGGGCTTAAAGTAAGCATTTCACTGTAAGCACTACACCTGTTGTATTCGGCGCATGTGACTAATAAAATTTGATTTGATTTGATTTATAGGTGCCAGTGGATAAGGTTCAGCCACCACAGGTCTGTCCAAGATATATTCAAACAGATTTATTCAGATAATGGGCTCAACACACCACACTCCTCTGTAATGATGACTCACATAGAAAGTGGAAGTTTATAAAAGTGGTTCTATGGAGGAACAGAAATAAATAGTAAGTACTGGGCATCTCTGGAATTATCTAGATATAATATACACTACCAGTCAAAAGTTTGGACACACCTACTCATCGCCAAAAGCCACAAAATACACTTGAATGGATTTCTGCAAATATGTAAATACCACGGGAGTCCTCTTACATTTGGGAACTTTACAGTCCTATTGATCAAACAACCATGAAAAGGTAGGCTCAGTTATGCACATCAACAACTAATGCTAGCCAGAGCAAGATGAGCTAAAATCAAACGAAGGAACATTAGATAAACCCTCTCAAAATGTTTCAGCTAGTTGGCCGTCAAAATTGTACTGATAAACGATGGGAATTGTAGCCTCCTCATCCTACTGCAGCTAGCCTGCCAATGTTGCATGCTTGTCCCAACCAAGCACCCAAGCTAACTTTCTAGCTAGCTACATCCAGACACAAATGAGAGAACACCTCACTCTGACAATTTTACTCGCTGTAGCAGAGCTGGTTAGGCTGTTTACATATTACCTAGAGTGTTCTTAACTAACTATAACATTTTTTGCCTCCGTTTATTGACACCGGTCATATTCAGCAGGTGTTGCGTTTCGTAAATTCATCAGTTGTTCTGCACTCTGGCACACTCAGACGAGAGTGCTTCGAAATTGGAGTAGAAAGCCACAGTGAATTTGCGAACGGAAGAGATATGCTAAATGTATAACAGTCGTTCAAGTTCTTGCTAGTTAACCAAATAACACCTGCATCTCTAGCTGTGTATAGCCACCGAAGCACGATATGAAGGGAAAAAGTCAGTCACTCATCCACTCCTCCAATGGCATGACATTACATCCTCCTAGCAGCTAGCTAGCTAGCTAGCTATCTAGCTAAAGTTAGGCTCCATGTTTTTAGCTAGCTACATAAATACACTGCTCAAAAAAATAAAGGGAACACTAAAATAACACATCCTAGATCTGAATGAATGAAATAATCTTATTAAATACTTTTTTCTTTACATAGTTGAATGTGCTGACAACAAAATCACACACAAAATGATCAATGGAAATCAAATGTATCAACCCATGGAGGTCTGGATTTGGAGTCACCCTCAAAATTTAAGTGGAATACCACACTACAGGCTGATCCAACTTTGATGTAATGTCCTTAAAACAAGTCAAAATGAGGCTCAGTAGTGTGTGTGGCCTCCACGTGCCTGTATGACCTCCCTACAACACCTGGGCATGCTCCTGATGAGGTGGCGGATGGTCTCCTGAGGGATCTCCTCCCAGACCTGGAGTAAAGCATCCGCCAACTCCTGGACAGTCTGTGGTGCAACGTGGCGTTGGTGGATGGAGCGAGACATGATGTCCCAGATGTGCTCAATTGGATTCAGGTCTGGGGAACGGGCGGGCCAGTCCATAGCATCAATGCCTTCCTCTAGCAGGAACTGCTGACACACTCCAGCCACATGAGGTCTAGCATTGTCTTGCATTAGGAGGAACCCAGGGCCAACCGCACCAGCATATGGTCTCACAAGGGGTCTGAGGATCTCATCTCGGTACCTAATGGCAGTCAGGCTACCTCTGGCGAGCACATGGAGGGCTGTGCGGCCCCCCAAAGAAATGCCACCCCACACCATGACTGACCCACCGCCAAACCGGTCATGCTGGAGGATGTTGCAGGCAGCAGAACGTTCTCCATGGCATCTCCAGACTCTGTCACGTCTGTCACATGTGCTCAGTGTGAACCTGCTTTCATCTGTGAAGAGCACAGGGCACCAGTGGCGAATTTGCCAATCTTGGTGTTCTCTGGCAAATGCCAAACGTCCTGCACGGTGTTGGGCTGTAAGCACAACCCCCACCTGTGGACGTCGGGCCCTCATACCACCCTCATGGAGTCTGTTTCTGACCGTTGGAGCAGACACATGCACATTTGTGGCCTGCTGGAGGTCATTTTGCAGGGCTCTGGCAGTGATCCTCCTACTCCTCCTTGCACAAAGGCGGAGGTAGCAGTCCTGCTGCTGGGTTGTTGCCCTCCTACGGCCTCCTCCACGTCTCCTGATGTACTGGCCTGTCTCCTGGTAGCGCCTCCATGCTCTGGACACTACGTTGACAGACACAGCAAACCTTCTTGCCACAGCTCGCATTGATGTGCCATCCTGGATGAGCTGCACTACCTGAGCCACTTGTGTGGGTTGTAGACTGCGTCTCATGCTACCACTAGAGTGAAAGCACCGCCAGCATTCAAAAGTGACCAAAACATCAGCCAGGAAGCATAGGAACTGAGAAGTGGTCTGTGGTCACCACCTGCAAAACCAGTCCTTTATTGGGGGTGTCTTGCTAATTGCCTATAATTTCCACCTGTTGTCTATTCCATTTGCACAACAGCATGTGAAATGTATTGTCAATCAGTGTTGCTTCCTAAGTGGACAGTTTGATTTCACAGAAGTGTGATTGACTTGGAGTTACATTGTGTTGTTTAAGTGTTCCCTTTATTTATATATACGCTAGCCTATTAGCCACGTTATGACTGACTTGTGATCATAGCCCTTGCTAGTTTTTGTCCAGAATATTGAGTTATTGAAACTGAAACAGCGCAATCCCAAATGGAGGCATCAAACAATGTACCAGGCCAGCTGTGATTTATAACCTGATAGCAATATATTTTTGGACTACCAAGAAATGTATTGGTGAATTATATTAATCATGTATTGAACTGCATCCATCTATTCTGACAACAATGTCTTAGTGTACGTCATGGATTGTTGAGTCAAATATAACTTATTTTTAAAACCTCTTATAAAGTTGGTTTTGTAGCATAAACTGGGAATGTTATATTTTTTTACTGATATTACGATTGTCTGTTTGTTTTATATCTGCAAAGTAGTTAAAACGCTGTCAGTTCCACTTTAAACTTTAGGTCAAAGGTTACTTTGTGTGCTAAACGTGAAATGTTTGTTGCAATGGGAAGTAATAGTAGTACATTTCGATTGGGAAATGCTTAATGGTTGTGTTTTTGTATTCTTATGATTGGAACCTACTGACTTATTATGTCTGAGTTTATCGACTGCTTATCCTTTAACATCATGCTGTGTGACTGCTTATCCTTTAACATCATGCTGTGTGACTGCTTATCCTTTAACATCATGCTGTGTGACTGCTTATCCTTTAACATCATGCTGTGTGGCTGCTTATCCTTTAACATCATGCTGTGCGACTGCTTATCCTTTAACATCATGCTGTGTGTGACTGCTTATCCTTTAACATCATGCTGTGTGACTGCTTATCCTTTAACATCATGCTGTGTGACTGCTTATCCTTTAACATCATGCTGTGTGACTGCTTATCCTTTAACATCATGCTGTGTGACTGCTTATCCTTTAACATCATGCTGTGTGTGTGACTGCTTATCCTTTAACATCATGCTGTGTGACTGCTTATCCTTTAACATCATGCTGTGTGACTGCTTATCCTTTAAACATCATGCTGTGTGACTGCTTATCCTTTAACATCATGCTGTGTGACTGCTTATCCTTTAACATCATGCTGTGTGACTGCTTATCCTTTAACATCATGCTGTGTGACTGCTTATCCTTTAACATCATGCTGTGTGACTGCTTATCCTTTAACATCATGCTGTGTGACTGCTTCTCCTTTAACATCATGCTGTGTGTGTGACTGCTTATCCTTTAACATCATGCTGTGTGACTGCTTATCCTTTAACATCATGCTGTGTGACTGCTTATCCTTTAACATCATGCTGTGTGACTGCTTATCATTTAACATCATGCTGTGTGACTGCTTATCCTTTAACATCATGCTGTGTGACTGCTTATCTTTTAACATCATGCTGTGTGACTGTTATCCTTTAACATCATGCTGTGTGGACTGCTTATCCTTTAACATCATGCTGTGTGACTGCTTATCCTTTAACATCATGCTGTGTGACTGCTTATCCTTTAACATCATGCTGTGTGACTGCTTATCCTTTAACATCATGCTGTGTGGCTGCTTATCCTTTAACATCATGCTGTGTGCTGCTTATCCTTTAACATCATGCT